TTGTCACAACTTCCCATATTTTATTTTCAAGCTCTGGGAATTGTCAGCCTGGAGTCTGCTTCCGTCTCTTCAGCAGGCTCTGATTTCAGAGTGTGTTGGAATTTCAATCTCCAGAACTTCTAAGACTGCCGCTTCAGGTGCATGTTCAGTTAGAAACTGTAACTTTAAAAAATACAATAACTTTAAAAAATACTATAACTTAAAAAAATATAATGTCCTCAAACCATAATATTAATTGCAACCAATCATGTGTTTGGGTGTTGTTTCCAAATCTTGGTAATCTTTTTTGTTCTGCCTTTTACTTTGCAAGTTTTGTTTGTACACAAAACTTCTGACTCCAATTAATTGTCCAGTTATAGACTTTCTTATGAAAGCTCCTGATCCTCCGCCTGCTGTAACTCTGAGAAATGCTGTGCTTATGCTTAAGGTCAGAAAAAAAAATAGTTTAGATGGTAATTGTGTTTGATCCCAAATTTATGGTGTAGCAGTCTGCCTTACTGACTTCAGTTTGTACTGAAGCTGTTTTTAATTACTTAAGGATGTTTTGAATTTTCGTTTATGTCTGTTTTAATTTTATGTGTGGGGATGTGTTTTTCCATGTCAAGGGAAGAGAGTGCTTCAAAGTCTCTGTTAATAGTTTGACTTGCTTTTTTAGTGTTTGGAAATAAGTCTAGTTAATGTCCAGTATTCACATCCTTTCTGCTTTCACTGTAAATTGATTTTTTTCCACTGTACCCGTCCCCCTCTCCTTTGTTTGTTTGTTTATAAACAGACCATAGATGCCATGGACCCTTGGGAAGATCTCACTGAGCTTGGTTATCATCTTATTGAATTACCTGTAGAGCCACACCTCAGTAAAATGATGTTGTATGCTGTAGTTCTGAAGTTCCTGGATACTGTTCTGACCATTGCCTGTGCTCTTGCTTGCCAAGACCCTTTTTGTGCTGCCCACACTGGCCTCCCAAAAGCGTGCAGCCATGCTGTGCAGGAAGTGTTTTTCTGATGGGACTTTCAGCGACCACATGGCCCTGCTCAGGGCTTTCCAGGTAGTATTTAATTTCAGAGAGTACTAATCACAGCACATCACCCAAGCAATGCAAATGTACCAATCTACTTGGATGTAGAGTGGTGGGCTGTGATTAAGTCCTCAGAGAAGACTTTCTTTTTGCCTACTGGCTTTCCTGTGTATTGGACTCATAAATTTGTGAGGGAAGACTTTTTGTAGCATGTTTTGTTGATACTTTCAAAACTTACAAAATTTTAAATGTTCCAACAATGTGCCTTTTTACATCCTACTACACTGAACTTCAAATCATGATCTTAATGTAATGATCTTTATTTATTGTTTTAACTTGACATAATCATCATTCTAGTGAACGTGTAAAGAGAATCTAATTCTTGAACAGAAAAAAAGAATCTGGTTTGATACCCTAACTTTTAGAGTGGTTTTGCATTCATTTTACTGACATAAATGTAATCTTTTTTAAAAATGCAGTTTTTAGTTTTAGCCTATCAAATTAACAGGCAAATTGAAAATCGTTTTCAGGCATGGAAGAAGGCACGCAGAGACAGCTGGGAGAGAGCCTTCTGTGAAAAGAACTTCCTATCCCAAGCCACAATGGAAATAATTGCAGGAATGAGAACACAGTTGCTTGGCCAGCTTAGAGCCTCAGGTAAAGGAGTTGGAAACAATTTTAATATTGTTTTAAAGTCAAACATATAGAAAATGTAACAAAAATCATGTTCACTGGTGTAATTTTCCTTAATTTGAAATACACTGTCATGCACACATTCATGCAGGGTATGGTGTGGATGAGGAAGTGTGCCTGATCTAACTGAAAGCACCCTCATCTTCATATGCCACTGCATTTCATGTTTTAATTAATTTTTCCCATAGGAAATATCTTTGTATTGTAGAAAATAGTGATAGTCTGTGTTAGTATGAAACCTCTTATCAAGAAGGATTTCAGTGCAGTGGTTTCTTCTTGGTGCTGTTAAGGTTGGCAGTGGTGAAAAATGCAACAAATAAGTAATTTATTTCACCTTTAGTTTCTAATTCCTTTTGAGAACCAAACACAAGCTAACATTGCACTGTTTTGTCTTCTTCGTTTGTCAGTTTTTGTGAGAGCCAGAGGACGAGCTGATATTAGAGGTGTTAATGCTAACTCTGAGAACTGGGCTGCAGTTAAAGCTGCCTTAGTGGCCAGGATGTAATTCAGCCTGGTGCTCGGGGGTCCCTCCAACCCCCAGCTTCCACTGCCATAGGTGTCCCAGATAGCGCTGGGCCTGTCCAGGTCCTTCAGACTCGGCTCCCAGCTTCAGGCAAACTTAGTGAGCAATTCTGGAGTGATTTCAGCTCTTGTGAATTCAACTCTTAGTGATTTCAGGTCTGTTCTCACAAGTGCCTTGGGCAGATACATAGGGATAGAAAGAGAGTGAAGGCTGCATGTATTTCCACAGAGATGTCCTTTAATTTCAGCTCCTGTGCAAGGGGCAGTGACAGCTTTTCTGCTGAACTGGGCAGATATAGGGGTTTATATAGGGTAGAGGGGTGTTGGAAATTGTCCAATGGCCAGTGTTGAGGAGAATATGACCTTGTCATGGTTTGACACTGGCACAATGCCAGTGCCCTTATGAAAATGTGATTTTTTTTTTGAATGCTGTGAAGGGGAATTTAGAACAGAGTAAAGCAGGCCTAAGCTTAATAACTGAAAAAAAAAAACTTTATTAAGTTATTACTATAAAAGAAAAGAGAAAACTAAAGAAGGGAAAAAAAAAACCTACACAAAGATCAAATGAAAACTTTGCAAAACATTCTTCCCCCCATCTACCCAATTCTAACAAACTACAGTGAGACACAATCTGGACTCCAATCAGGTTCCTACCCTCTAGACAATCAATACTCAGTCTATCGAGGGAACAGAGTCTCTCCTGTGCTACAGACCCTCTAAGAAACACAGCTCTACATCCTGTGTTCTTATGTTACACATGGCACCGCCCGGAGAAAAGTTTACTATGGTGACCTTTCTTCTTTCTATGCACAGTGCTTTCACTACTAATGTATAGATGGACAGACTGCTTTTAGGATTTTTCCTTTTAAGGATGCCCTGCCAAGAGGAGAGAAAACAACAGTTTAGTTTTTCATTGTTTGGGACTACCGTCCCCCCCATTTTCCCCTGGAGCTGAAGGCTTAAGAACAGAGATCTTCTTCTCTTCTCTTTCCTTTCCAAGACAAGGGAGCGTCACTACAAACCCCCTAATTTTTTTTCTGTTTATTCCACTTCTGTCTCTTCCCAGCTGAAGCAAGTCTCTTAATTCACTAGCATCTTCTTAAAACACAGTCCTTCTTAGAAGAGAAGATTAATTTAAGTTGTAGCTAACACAGAAAAGTCTAGCCAAAAGCCACTCCTTATCCCTCTCTTATCTAAAATTCCTCCTTCTAACATCCCAGGGTTCAAGGTGTTCCTCTTCTTCTCTTTTAAATTAAGGAGGAGAAAGGAAAATTCACAAGCTTTCATTTCTTATGGAAGGGTTAAAAGTCTGAACTCCCAGGATGGCTCAATGCCCAGACATTCAATAACTCCCACGCACTAAGCACCTTACAACTCCCCCCGCTCCTCCTTCTTCGCAGTAAAATTGCTGACAGAACTACTGATGTCTCTTTCTCTCTCCCTCTTGGGAGAGAAATTCTAGTGGTGGGGAATGAAGACATCACAGATTTCTTCTACCCTTCCATCTGCAGAAGCCAGCCTAGTTCTAGTCCCTCTACCCCTCAGCCTTACCTTGGTCAGGCTATGGGGCTTCCCCTCCCCCACCCAGCTTGTTGCTGGGCAGGGGAGAGTCCTGCACTGCACGGTGACCGGAACTAGAGAGAGTGAGTTCTCCCGGCAATTTTGCTTTTAACCCTTCTGTGTTCTCAGAGGCGTGTCTACCTTCAATTGGTCAATATCTAAATTGACCTCTTCCTTCTGGAAAAAATTCTCTTTCTGTGTCAAACTATGACAGAGGGATTAATAACACTAGGATTATTACTTGAGAAACTTTTATAAGGAACACTTGAGATACTTTTGTCAAAAAAGTGGGAGAGCCAAGGGATCCAAAGCCAGTGCAGAGGAACCACAAAGTCTTGCAGCTATTTGCAATTCCTTAGAGTCAGGACTGTGACAAATACAGCTGCTTTTTCCTAAATCTCTCAGTCCTTCACTTGCCATTGCTACAGGAAAGAGCTGAGAACTTTACAAAATTACAGTTGGTAAGAATTGGAATGACTGAAGCAGAGTGTTTCTTGAAAAGGATGTGCACATGTTCTTAGCATAAGCAGAGGGGAGCCTGGTATGAAGAAACCATCAAAGCCCTGGACATGAACTGAATAAAAAAGTTGTGTAAGAAACAGCCTAGAAAGAAGACAATTTTGAGCTTGCAGAGTTGGTATGCTCAGGCTGTGGCCACAAAAGGGGACTTGGATGGACTGAATCACCTATAAACAAGAAATGCACAGCCTTGTGACCAGGATGTGCTGAGCATCACCAATTACCTGTTCCAAAACTCTATTCCAAATTAAATAGACCTACAAAACCTCAAATACAGTAACAGACAGTAAACCTTCCCTTTCAGGTAACCAGTTAATTAGGTATTATGATCACAGGGCTGAAGGGTGTGGGTGTATAAGAACAGGGAAGTGGAACACAGAAAAAAGCACTGGTGTGTGGGAGGGAGAGGGAGTGAACCAATTAGAGACAAGTCTTGGGGCAGTTTGATAAAATGTTTGACTCTTAAACAGTGTGATATAAATCTTCGTGTAGTTGATGAGCCTCTCCACTTCAGCCAATACACCTGTGAAGATTTTGCTGCTGACTATTGTTATGAATAAATTCAGTTTTATATTGAAAATGTTAATTAAAATGCTATTAACTGTTCAAACCCCGTTAAAATCCCCTTATGTGCATGCTTGTTTGATTCCGGCAAATATGCAAATCGCGAACCGAGCGCAAAATCCCGAAAAGAGCCCCAAGGACAATGATCCACGCCAAATTCGGGGCCGCGGACCGGATCGGACGATCGGCAAGAGGTCCCCGGACAGCGCCGGACCCGCGGAGTAGCCACCAACATGCCCCCCTAATGTAAACAGTGCGACTGCGGGATCAGGACCCCGGGCAACGAGCCGCAAATTGCCTTTCTGGGCACGCCTCCGAGGACGGAAGCCCCGGTTCTGCTGCGTAGCAGACCCGATCTTCTTCTCCGCGTCGCCAAGTGGGAGCAGTGGTGGTGTGCACGACCCCTCGGGCCCCCAACCCAGAGCTAGTCATCTAATAAAGGCCTTAAAAAGGAGCAGGTCTCCTGGCCCATTTATTTCAACTATGAAAGCTTTTACCTGTCAAGGGTGACACGCACATAAAAAGCCTGCTGGTGACTCTTGGCTCTTTCTGCTCGAGTTCACTCCTGGAAGTGAGGTGAGGCATCCGGAGCATTCAGCTCCTCCCAGTGGGGGAAGGCAGTGCCCCAGAGTCACGGGCAGAGGAGAACACCTGGCAAAAGTGACACCTACCAGAAGTGACATCCACTAAAGGTAACACGCAGCCGTGGTGACACGGGCAGATGTGACACCCTGACTGGGGAGGACTGGGGAAGCTGCGCTGTCCCTGCGTTCGTCCCGCCGCTCCTGAAGGAGCGTTCGGGGACCGCAGAGCAGGTAATGAGGTGCTCTGGCTGCGCAGCTGCCTCGCCCCGGGTGTCCCTCTGGGACTCGCGATTTACTCCTGAACCTGCTTCAAGGGACAAGTCCCCTCTCCGGTGTGCGGTGACCCCCTCCGGTCATCTCACCTTCCCCTCCTTCCTTGAGCATCCCTGTGCTGGCGGCGTCACGTGTTTGGTCTTTGATGCCTTTAATCCCATCCCCAGCGCCCGAGAGGGGGGAGAGAAATTTGCGGAAGAGAAGTGAGCCACACGCCTAGAGCAGGATCCTGGTGGGAGCGGAGCTGCGGCAGGGAGGGAGGCGGGAGCTTCCGCGCGGGGCTGTTCAGCGGATCGGGTAAATCTCCCGCTTGGTTCGGGTAGATGGCCCGCTGGGATCGGGCTGTCCCAGAGGGATGCTTCCCCTTCCACTGTGGGCGATAAGGGGGCGGGTGGTGCACCGAGGCTGGGTGAATGGGGAAAGGGGGGCCATGAAGTTATGGTTGATGAGCAGCCGCAACTCCTCATCAGGGCTGGGCTTGGCTGCTGTGGCTGCAGCAGCTGAGCCAGCAAGGAGGTGGGAACCCTCCATGGATCAAGATGTTTTCTGTGCTTGCTTCCAGGGATGTGCCTGTACACGGCGACGAGCGAGGACAAGCGCGCCTCAAGAAAAGGCCCCTGCCTTAGGGGAGGTGAATGGATTATTAAGGGAACGGGGGAGAAGCCAGCCAGCTTCTGCCCTGCTCTGTCCCACCCAGAGAAACCCTCGCCCGAGGCAGATGCGTGGTGAGAATCTCTCTAGTCTGAAATCCGAGCAATGAGCTGAGGACTGGGTGTTAGCATTCAGGAACACACATAATCAGTGGATGTGATTATATGTAGGTGCTTGTATTAAAGAGCTCTGGGAATCAGGGGTACAGACCCAAATCTGACTCCAACATGGCTTTCGAGTTGAGTGTATTTTATATTCTATTGTTATAATACTTGCATATTAATTATTAAACTTATATTGTTCTATTGTATACATTGACTTTATTCAAGCATGAGTTTCTCGTGATCTTTCTCAAGCCTCTGACCACAGTTTCTCATGATTAGTCTTATGATTAAACAGTAATTATATTTAATTACTAAACAATCATTGTGAGAACCCCGGCCTTGCTCTGGGGTCTCATATGGTGGTGAAATTCCTCCTCCAGCCCGTGCTTCCAAAGAAAAACTCCGCAGGCTTTAGCTGTTCGGTCTCAAGGCAGTTTATTGCTAGTTATCTAACAAATTATGTTCTTGGACTGCGGCTGTTTGATCAGCAGCCTGGGTAGAGGCACACACACACACTGACATCCTCTCTATCTGCTGTCTTCTTCGTCTCTCGCCCTGCCCAGGGCTGCTGCTATCTTTTATATGATATATTATGTATAACATGTTTACAATTATTCCCCAATACCTACTACCTACGTTGCCAAGTGTTTTTCTACTCTAAACCAATCTGTGAGTGCCAACATCACCAAGAACATGGAGGTAAGGAAGAAGAAGGAGGAAGAACAGGATCAGCCCACTTTCCTCCATCTTAGAACTTTTGACCCCCACGTACAAAGTGAAAACCCCTCTGTACATGTGCTAAAACCCCCCTGTACTAAAAAAAATTTCCCCTCTACTTTGTAATTACTTATACTATACTATCTAACCTTTTGTGATTGCTTGTTCCACCTCCAAAGTTGGTAATTCATTCCATGGTTCAAACTCAAAATCACAGCTGTTTTTCAGCTGTCTGCCAGGGTCTAGAATGCTTCTGACTAAGGCCTGGAACCTCTAAAAATGTCTGAGAGACATTTTGAGTTCCCACACATCATCACATCTAACAATTATATCATTTATCATGTATTAGCTACACAGGTGCAGTTCTAGCAAGGTACAAGGCCTACACTTTCCCAGGGTATTTTCTCAGGGCCTACTAAGCTTAATTTTCCCTCCAGCCCCCAAATTCCCATGATTTAAAAACCCTTTTATTATCATGGGCACACTGAAATGTCCTCTGTGTGTGTCCTGCAAGGAGGGCTAGAGAGTGGTGGTGGGACCAGCTTTTCTTATCTAACACACCTTTTACTCTTTGACCCTCCCCACTGAGGTAACTGCTGTTAATCCCGGTGCTTTACACGTTACATTGTTTTACCTTGTGCTACCTGAAGGTAGTGAGGAGCAGCTAAGAAACCCAATGTTTGAAGTCGCTGACATTTAGAATCCAAGGCTGTTGAGGAAATCTACAGTTGTGCTGTGATGCAGCAAAACATGAAAAATGCTGATGTACACTACAGGTTCCTGGGCTGGCTTCTCTCCTGCAGTAACTGAGAAAATAAATTATGTACAACCATCAGGGTACATCAGTTCAGCAAGCATTCACAAGCACAAAAACCAGAAGGAACATCCTCTTGCACATGTGAAACCTGCTGATTTCTTGTCTGTCCAACAAGGGCATTACTAATTGTACCACACTTTTTTTTTCCAGCTCCTGCATTTACCTCGTTTTCTCCCCTCGGGGCTCAAGCATATCACCAGGAACCCCCAGAACCAAGGCAATTCCATTCAGCACGCCTTCTTGTGCAGGAGAAACACTCTGGTTCATGCGTTGTTTGGGGGAGGGGAGAAAGAGGGTGGATATTCCTCAGGCACAAGTAGTAAAACAAGTAGTAAACTTTCTCCACTCCCACTTCATCTGATCTGACTGCTGGGTAGGAACAGAGGGAGCATTGCTTTCCCATGGGATTGCCTTGCAGGGACCACAGCCAGGTGAAATGAGCTCTGTTCAGGTTTATGTGACAGAGAAAAATTAATACACATGAGAAACAAGACAGAACTTGGGGAAATAAGTGTAATTAATATATATTGAGTTCACAGCCTCTTTCACTGGTGGCATGGTCTTATCCTCTTAGTTCAAACAAAATGGGCAAAGTGTCATTCACCTGCCACAGCTATGTCCCTCCTTTCTTAGTTCAGTAGCTTTCAAGCTGTGCCTCATGGATTTTTATGAACAACCTGTAAAAGTTAACACAGTCTGATGGGAATAGCAAGCCAGCCTATGATTAAATTTTTATTCAAGATTTAAGTCAGCAGTTTCTGGTGTTACCTAATTGGTCACAGTTACACCCCGCATATTTGTGCACTTTTATTGTTCTAATGGTGCTTAAGTTCCATCTCCTTGGACCGAAGAGGTCTGTACATTCACTGACAGGCCCTGAGGAATGGCAGATCAAAACAGACAGCAGAACCTTCAATTTCTATCTCATGCACCACGTAACTTTTCCTAAGAGCCAAGTCCTCTGCCCCTCTTTAGCCAAGTCTCTTACACTTCAAGCTGTCATTAATCTGTAAGAGTGTTACATCAGTTCTAAGGGAGCTAAGAGCTTAAGTACAGCAGCCCTAATCTTTGCTTGGTTTATCTGATGATAAAATAACAGATGCCATTCGTCATTTATGAACAACAAAAGAACAGTTGCTTTCAGCAGTACTTGAGGAGGTGAGAGATATATTTGGTACCTGCAAATACAATTTAAAAACTACTGTTCTCTTACCATCAAGGTTCCTCTGAATGTTTTTTAGCAGCACAGCTCTTGCTGGGATGGTTTGTATATTCTAAGGAGCCCAACTCGCACTTTGGCATGGAAGTGCAAAAAATCAGATCTGTGGATGCTTGGCTTCTGCTGTTGTCAAGGGGGGCCTGACACATTGCAGAAATACTATCTGGCACCTGACCTACTAAAAGCTGTCAGAAACAAGAGGAATTGCAGATAAGAAAAGCTGGCCATCTGGCCCAGTAACAGGGATCAGCTCATGACAGAGACATTAGGTTTTGGAATTTGAGGATATATGTACATTCCCTGTCAGCATGCCTGTATGTTACAAGAGATCTCTATGGCTCCTTGGGAAGCTTCCATTGGCTTCCTCAGATTTGAGCAGATGTTCATCACAGCACTAAAGATGCCCTGGACCTTTGGTCCCACCAGGAGTCTTCTGAGGGAGTGGTCTACAGGGGCCTCGGATAGCATAATCCAATCTTCCACCGCAGAGATGAGAGGACACTTGGGCTGTTGTAGTTCCCATGAGTTTATTGCAAGGTGAAGTAGGAGGATGACAGGGAAACAGACTCCAAGAGCCTCCTCCAGGGAAGGGGTCACGACATATAACATGGGAAGGATAGGAAGGGTCAGGGTACATAGGGACCAATGGGAAGAAGGCTCAGGGGAGGAGCAGGGATGGGGTAACATAACTAGAACCAATGGGAATAAGGGGAAAGAGTGGTTAGCATAGAGTAACAATGGAGAACCAAAGAACATGGAACTTTCTAGAACTGAGGGATGGTGCAAACAGTGACTGACAGAAACTGGGGAGGGTGCAACATATGATAGACATGGGGAAGGCAGGGGCAGGAGTCTTATACATTAGTGGTTTCCCAGGGCAACCTTGGACTGCTCTCCCCAGGCCTGCCTCCCACACAGCACCACAAGGGCTCTGTCTCTGCCAGAGAGGATTCATCAGCAGAGAAGCTGGTCCTGAGCTGGCAACTTTTCTGCATGGTGTAAGGCTGGGGTGTAGAAAAGCTTTTCACACAAAAGTTTCAGTTTGGGTGCTGCTATAGGATGAAAAGTGTAAAGGACCACTTGTGTGAGTACCATGACTCCAGCCACTGCTATGGCCCAGTTGGGACTGTGACAGCCTATGACATTTCCTTGACATTTTCCAAGAGCCTGCTTTTGTTTCCCTCTTTCATTCTTTTGTAAAGAGATGACTCTATGGCTCTGACCAAATGACTTCATCCAGCTGTTTTTATGTTAGGAAAGAAATGGCTTTCCTCACTGACACTGAGAAGTTTAGATAGGCCAAAAGGAGTAATTTAATAATGTAATTGTACAGAAATTTTTGTCTTTTTCTCATGGTAAAGGAAGGAGAAGGCAGATGGTCTCTCTTATATTCTGGAGGAATCTAAAATTTTGCAGTTTTGAAACATGTAGGAGATATTTTTTCCAGGAACAATCCAGTAGATTAAAAACAAGATTAGTGACATAAGAAAATTCATGTGAACAGTCTAATTACCCTGATTTTTGTGTAAGCTTCTGAAAACCAGGCTGTGAGATGTCTAGGCAGCCAGAGAAACAGAACAGAAAAGTCAAATATTGCTAAATTTAACTTGTGTGAAAGTGAATGCTTGCTTAAAGTGAGTGTGTATGTGTGTACAAAAATATTATATATTTATCTGAATATTTCAGTTTTAAATTCAAGGTATATACTTTTAAATTGCATTCTTTTAGATAAGAAGTAGGAGTAAATGGCTTAATTACAACATGTTAATGTTGCTGTGCCCATCTATTTCACAGGGTCTAGTAAGGAGGAGACATCTGAGAGAAAGAGACACACACATTATCTTTAGCATACACAGGTCCATGCCTCACACTCTAGGGAGGAGAGTGAAAAAATCCACAGTTGGAAGTGTGTGAGCAGCAGGAGGGAATCATGTGTGACTCCAAAGAGGTAAAAGTTTGTCTCTCTAATATGCGCTAGACTAAGATACAAAACATCTGGCTTTGCTTCGTGTCTGTGGTCTAAACATTGTTATGCCACGGTCACCAGGTGGAAATTCTTGAGTTCTGTGCCTTTAACAGAAAGGGATTTTCACATATCCTGCATCCACCTTGTCTGTGTTTGAAGCACAGTAACAAACACACAAAGTCCTTTTGGGCTTTATTAGATCAGAGTTCCTTTGTGCTAAAAAGGCCTTAGAGGTCTTTTGCTGGAAACTAAGTTTGGCTCATCTGTCCTCAACCTCCCAGGACTATTCTGTGATGCCTCCAGCATAAGGGATTCCACAGAAGCCTTGCATTTTAGCTTACTCAGAGACTAGTCCCCTGCTTTCTATTTTCTCTGTCAATTCCTATTTCAGTAACCATCCTTTTTT